CCCTTCTCTCTCTCTCTCTCTCTCTCTCTCTCCCTCTCCCTTCCTTTCTCCCTTACTTTAATATCCATTCATTGAACAATAATGATATAACAAGTAATGAAATAAATTGAAATAAATTCATTTTATCCATATCCTTTAATATTTAATTTAAATTTAAACTTTTCCATTTACCATATTTCTCTAGGTAACTCCACCCTTTTCTTGATCTCATTTTTAAATTTCACTCCCTCCTTTTTACCCTTTTCTATACATTAAACATATACGATAAACCACACCTCTTCCAATTTCTCTCTCCCTCTTCAATAACCCGCATTTTCAATTTTCCCACTCCCACCCCGAATGTTTCACCCGCACTGGGACATACCGTCCCCCTTCTCCTTCTTCTTCTTCTCCTCCTCCTATTGTTGCTGTCATCCAACTACTGCAACATCATGACATTAAGGCAATTCCACCATTCATTCTCTTTACTAACTTCATCCAACGACTTTTTCATTTCTTTTTTTTGTTTTAACATGATACTTAAAAACTTGTTATCGGAATTGTTTCATTCAATTAATGCATTTTGTTTTTAAATTAAATACTACCAATTTATTAATTCATGACATAATTCAATTTCAAGTTTCAATAACTTTTTTTATCCAATAATTGTTAAATCTTTGAAAAAATTCCAAATGTTCAAATTTTGCATTATAAAATTATTTTTGTATATATATATACATAAGATTGATTAAAGTAATTATTTATGCCAAATTGATGAAAAATTATATTAATCTGAATTAAATTAAATTAATTGTAAACTTAGCAACATTAACTCAATTAACTTATATAATTAAAGTTAATATTTGGAACAAAATATTCAAATTTTATATTACAAAATTATTTCCATTTATATATATATATATATATATATTTAAGTGAGAAATATATATACATAGTTAATATGAGGTTAATGATGTTTACAAAATTGATTAAAGCGTCGTCACCTTTTAGATATCCTTCGGTCCTTCTCATCCACCTATTTTCTTTCCCGTCCATCAACTGACCACCTGTGGTGATTTAGAAAATAGGTTCAGGTTTAGATAATCAGTTTATTCATTCAACACATTTAGCATACAAATCATTTCTGCAAACATAAAATCGTCATATATAAAAACTTAATTTAATAATTGAAAACCGATAATCCTTTTTTGTCTCATTTTATATTTCATATTTTTTAGACAAAAGAAAGACTCTTCAAATCGTTCCTCTAAAATTTTTCAAGCTTATGCAAACTTGCACCTCTTTTTAAAAAAAAAACTTTAAACTTTCATTTCGCTTCCCCCTCCCCCCCCCACCCGCAAAAAAAAAAAGAAAAAGAAATGAATCTTCCCAGAAGCGTCAATACCTATTCTTTTTTAAAATGAATTTCAATTTCCAATTCTATTAATTTATTTCCTGTTAAATTTATCCAGCAGTAATGTACAAAAATACACATAATTAACTATTATTTAATTAGTTAGAATTTGTTTCACATTTTGATTCCTCATTATATACTAAATACGAACAGTTACAGCAAGTGTATATTGTTATGATTGATAGTGTAATTAAAATTAAAAACAAAATTGGAAATCGAAATTAATTTTGAAAAAAAGAACAGTGTGAAATTGATATTAAACTAACAACATTTTAAAACTTTCCACAGATTTTTCTTTTTTAAGTTTGATTTTAGCATATTACCTTTATTTAAGTATTAGATATTAAGTATATTCATTTCTTTCGCTGATTGTTATTTGTTTTTTTTTGTTTCAAATTTTGTTTAATAAAAAAAATTAGCCAAATGAAAGATTAAGCGAAAATTCATAGCTTTAAAAAAAAAGAGAAATCTTCCCATCATTAATTTTATGCTAAAGAATGCTTACATTCGCTAATTTTCAATGAGGCTTTAAAATTTTGAAATTTTTTTTCAAAAAAAAAAAATCTTTTCCTTATGATTCATTTTGTTCTCTTCAGCAAACATTCCTCTGTTCGTCACCCTAACTTACTAAATTATCGAAGCAGATATCATATCGGCCAATCATTTATTTATCTATTTGCTTTTTTTTTTTGTTATCATATCAAGTCAATGAATTTAATCTTTTACATTACGGTTATTATCATTTGAATGATACGCTTTCTTGTTATCATTAAATATTACATCCTTACTTATTTACTCAATTATCAATTTTGATAATCAATTATCTCTCTTCAATATCTTCATTTGTTATTAACTTTTTTTTTTTTGTTTGTTAATTAAAATACGCAGAGGTTAGAGTTAATAATTAAACAAGATTAAATGGATCAAATTAGCAAAGCAAATAGACTAATTAGCTTGAATATTGAAAGAATAATTAGTTACAAATGATAAAAGATGAATTAGAATGATTCATCATAGAATTAGATACTTGCTAATTTTCATTCCTCCTTTTTTTTTTCCTCTTTACCGCTTGTGATATCATCCTATCAGAAAGGTCATCCCTTATCAGAAAGGTCATTCTAATTCTTTTTTTTCCATTTCCAATTTTCTTCGAGAATTTAACAAGTTTTCCACTGGAAATTCATCTAGAAATAATAAATAAATCAAGAAATAACATTCATTACTAAAATGTTTTTTTTTTCTTTTCATTTCATTACCATAAAATGACAAAAAAAAAAAATAAAAATAAAAATGAGATGAAATGAGTTCATGGATTGCATTAAGATGAGAAATAAAAGAAAAAAAAGAAAAAACAAAAAGGAAAAGAAGCAATAAAAGAATAAAAGAGAGGGGAAAATGAGGAATTGAGAGAAGTGAGAGAAATGAAAAGAATAAGCTTAATAATATAATAATTAGAAAATGAAAATTCTTCATTTCAGTAAATGCAAAATGGAATGTAATTATTCATTCCATCTAATCTTTGACCTATAAGTTTTGACATTTCGTTTTTTTTTTGTTTATTATATATAAATAAACATATAGGCATTGTTAAAATAATTAAAACGGATGGAAAAGTTCGTTCATTAAATAAAGCACAAATAATAATAAATCATAATTAATAATAATGTTAATGATTAACAATAATAATGATAAATAATGATAATGATAATAATAATAATAATAACAATAACAATAATAATAATAATAATAATAATAATAATAATAATAATAATAATAATAATGAAGTAACAATATATAAATTATATTATGTAATTAATTGATCGAAGTAGAAATTTTACTTCATGAATATTCAAATCTTCAACTTTATCGATTTGATGATATAAGAATGTATCAAAACAATAACTTCACTTCATTTGGTTGTAAAATTAAATGAAAATATATGTATATTATGCAAAATGCGCCAAGCAATTACTGGGCGCAAAATGATAAATGATAGCATGAAGAAATGGGTAAGGTGACGAAAAGAGCTTTAGATTAATTGTAATCATATCAATGAATTAATTATTCGAATCTATTAATGATATATTTTAATTAATAATCGTATAAATGATGCAAGGTAAATTAATTTCGAATTTATTCATTTCTTTTTCTTTTTAATTTCATTTCTAATAAATGGCAAAAAAAGGAAAGCAAAGCATGATATACTAATAAATATATTATATACGATAATGAATAAAGCATGTGCTTTCTTTCATCATATTAATTGAATAAACATGGGTACTTAAAATGTTAGAATAAAAATTAAATAATTAAATTTTATAATGCATTATAAAGCTTTTATTATTTATGCATTATTTATTAATCATAACAAAATTCTTTTTAAAAAAAAAAAAGATTAGAATATGAATAATGAATAATTAATGAATATTGAAGTATTAAAAGAATTTTCAAATGGAAAATGAAGAGGAGTTGTTTACGAGGAATTAGACATGTTTAATCATGTTAGAACGGAATAAACCCTTAATTTCGTTCTTACACTCAAAATATCTCTGCTGCATGTTTTTTAAATTTAAAGTTAAATATAATTTTAAACTTACATCCAAGAATTAGGTCTTTTTTTTTTTATTTCACAAACAGAATAATTTTTAGTAGCATCAAATTTTAGCTTAGAAAATTTAATGTTAACATAAAATTTTCAAATAAATTTAGGATAATTTATTAAAAATATAATTTTTTCAATAAAATTGTCAATGTTTTAACTACATTGTCAATACTTTGAAGCGAATTAATTAATTAAACTTTTTAACCTAAAAAATGAAACTTTATTTACTCATATTATAATCTTAAAATTTTTCATAATGTATTATAAATAATTTTTAAATATAAAAGTTAATAAATGGATATTATTTTAGTCAAGAAATGATAAGATAATACAATTTGATCACAATTCATTTTATCATATAAATTATTATTATTATCCAATTTTCTTTAAATAATATCCTCTCTGTATATCCATCCATTTAATTTGCATATTTCATGAGCTTTTCACTATTTAAAATTCACTATTGGTAATAGTTAGTTTGTCATAAATGAAATAATTGATTAATAATAAATGAGTGTTAAATTAGCTTCTTTACTACTCCCTCTCTATTCATTTCGTTTTCTTTTTTTTTTTGCATAAAAACCAAAAATTATCATTTGGAATGTTTGCTACTAATAGTAGAATGAAATTTGGTAGTATATTAAATCAAATTCAAATATTTCTTTCACATTATTCTCTTATCTATTCACTACTGATAATTAATCATTCCTTATCTCTAATTACATTCCATTTGTCACTACTTTCCCATTCTATACCATCCATTTGTTGATAAGCAAATAAAAGCTATCGTAAATTTTTAGTGATTATTAATTTAGTTTTATTTGATGATATTATTTGTAATAAATTTGTTTCAATTTCTTCTAATAATCTCTTCAACTTTTATTTTTTTTTTTTTTTTTCTAGAAATAAAATCTCTTAAAATCTTTTGATACCTAAAAGAAAAAAAAACTTCTAATTAATTAATCCATTTATTAAATTTATGCATTTTCAAGAATTATTAAATAGTTTTCTCTTCCTTTCTCATATTCTTCCACTTTAAAAATCGTATATTATTTTATGTTATTCGATAAAATCGATTAATATTGTCACATTTTATTAGATGACAATTAATCGATTCATTCTTATTTTATATCATATCAAATAAAATTCAATTAGCATTTTCTTTCTTCTATAATTTTATGTATTATCTATTTATCAATTATCGATTTCTTCTTTTATTTGTTTATCTTTCAGAGCGGTCATTTTTATCTTATTTACAAAAGAATTTTATTTATTCTTTTTATTTATTTCTTTTCAGAACGGTCATTTCATTTCATTGACAAATATAGAAGAGAAGATGCCGAAGTAAAGGAAGAAATTATTGAAAGAGTTCATTTCTCGAGCTCTTCATTACCTACTTACTTACTTATTTACTTATTTATCAGTAAGTAAATATGGATGTAACAGATTTCCATATATTACTTATTCTGTTGTATTATTTTATACAACCTGTTGTAAATATTGGAAGCGATTATTTTGAATGCCCACGAAGGTATAATTTAAAATTTTGCTGCAAAAAAAAAAATAAAATAATATCTTACAAAAAAAAAAAAGGAAAGCAAAGAAAATGAGAAAGGAAAAGATAAAACAAATAAATTTTTTTTTTATTATTTAGAATTCTTGAAAATGAAAAAAAGAAAAAGATAAAATTTTTTTTCAACATTTTAATCGAATATCTCGTATTTTTTAAGAATTTTCAGAAATTATCATGCAGCTAGATTAATATTATTAATTAATTAATTAATCGAATATTAATTTCTTTTATATATAACCTCATAATATTAACTATTCAAATTCAACGATGATAATTATTATAATAATTTCTTCAAGATGCACCTGTATTCCGGATGTAGCTGAACCGGATCGTTTCGTTATAAGCTGTAAATGGTCATCAACAACAACAATAATATCCGGTAATAAATGGAAACAACAAATATTCGCTCAATTTCCATTAAATATTACAAAAACTCTTAATATTGAATGTGACAATAATTCATCTTCAATCACTCCTATTATTTTTGATGAAAATTTATTTAGTGGATTTAAAAATTTACAACATTTACGGATACAGGTATTCATTTTAACCATTACTATCACTGCTTTTGTTTTTTTTTTCAATTTTCAACCATTCATCTTCCATGATAATTTTCAAATTTAGAAAAAAAAAAGAAAAGAAATAATCTCAAACATAAGTGAAATCAAAGTGAAAAAAAAAGAGTGTGTAAACAACTTGAAATGAAATTTAAATCATTCAAAAATTTTAAATTTTCAAAATAAAAATTCAAGTTTAATCGTTGAATTATTTCCAATTTATATCCATAAATTGAATTATAAATTATTAAATTCAAAATTTTTAATTTTCATTTTTATTAAAAAAGAAAATAAAATGAAAATTTCATCCATACTTTAGACTAAATTCAACTAACATTAAGTCTATTCCTGTAAATGATTTAAGAAAAACCTTCATCATCATTTCATTGAACCGTAGTTATCGTCAATTATCGATAATATTTTCAAACTCCTATACCATATATCTCTTTCTTCCTCTCTCTCTCTCTCTCTCTCCTCTCTCTCTTTCTCATAAATAACCTCTATTATATTTGATAATCATTAATTGCCATTCTTATTATTCCAATAAATTACTTATAAATCATTCTTAACCTTTCCTACCCCATATATAATATAAAATTTATCATTTTATTTCTCAATTTATTTTCTCTCGAAATATCTCGCAAATAAACATTTAAAATTTATAAAATTTCCCAAAAAATTTTCAAATTTTTTAAAAAAAAAAAAAAACTTCAACAAAATAAATTTATACTTATTAGGAGCGGGAAAAAAAGAGATGAAATTATTTCAATTGTGTAAATTATTCGTTTGTTAAGAGATGAAAAAAAAAGAAAACAGAGAGAGAATGATAGGACTTGAATTATTATTTGAATAATCTATAACTTGAATTATTATTTGAATAATCTATAACTTGAATTATTATTTGAATAATCCATAACTTGAATTATTATTTGAATAATCTATTTTTTTAATAAATAGAAAATATTTCACTGTAATTTCACTTTTGTTTTTCTAATTTTTCTTCCTTTTTGTAATTTGTTTATTTTTAAATTATTTTTATTTAATATTTGTTTACATTTTCCAATTTTTTTTTTTTTTTTCTATTTCTTTGCATTCCTCTTCTTTTTTTTTTTTCTTTTTCATTACTTGATGAATACATTTCTTTTTTTCTTCCCCTCCTCACTCTACTCATTTCCTATTTTATCTACAAGGAATTTATTTGGGAATGTAATCGGGAATTAATGAAGGAAGGATGAAAGTTGGGAAGTTGGGGACATGAAATTTATAATCTCCTCTAAGGATTTGTCCATTTTTACACAATTTTACTTTGACCAAAGGTTACATAGTAATAGTAATTGTTATAGAAGTGTGATAATGTCCATCCCTGCCAAATCATACAAATACATCATTCCTATAATGAAGGTGAAATTATTTCTTTTCGCAGGTTAATTACATATACTATACATATCTCTCTCTCTCTCTCTCTCTCTCTCTCCTTCTCTCTCTCTCTCTTTCTCTCTCTTTCTTTCATTTAAATTCTTTCTCATTCTCTTTTTCATAGTATTTAAAACATCCTAAAGAAATTATGAAATAAAATGAGAATTAATTAATGATTCCTTCTAAAACTTGTAAATTAAAAAACAGTAAACGGACAAGATAAATGAATATTTGAATAATTAAATACTTAAAGTAAGTAAATAAATGATGAAAGAAATAATTAAACAAACAAACAACTAGCAAACAAATAAATAAATAAATAATAAAACAATAAAATGAATTAAATAAATACATACGATGATATGAAATGATCGATGAAGAAGGAAAAAAAAATATTAACAATTAGACTTTCTCATATTATTAAGTATTAATTACAAAATTAGATTTAATTATTAAATTGTTATAAATCGTCTTTAGATTTAATTATTAAATTGTTATAAACCGTCTTTGGATTTAATTATTAAATTGTTATAAATCGTTTTTAGATTTAATTATTAAATTGTTATAAACTTTTTTTTCATTTCATTTTAGAGATGCCGAACATATGTCTTTCCCAATTCTCTACTACATAATCTCAGTAATTTACGATCAATATATTTCAATCAATTAAATATTCCGAATGAAAGATTCATATTACCGAGACAATTTTTCCGGGATAATAAACGATTGGAAAAACTCACTATTGTGGATTGTAATTTGGAAGCTTTACCTGATTCATTACTCTGTGATAGTCCTTACATTCAGGTAATAATAATAATAATAATAATAATAATAATAATAATAATAATAATAATAATAATAATAATAATAATAATAATAATAATAATAATAATAAAGTAAACAAACAAACAAGTAAACAACAAAAAAAAACAATCAACAAAGTTTTTTTTTCTCGCAAAATATTTGATAAATTGGAAAAAAAAAGCATAAATAATTGATTTGCTTTTTAATACTTTTATGTTTACTTGTCAACTTTTTTTTTAATATGTTTAATATTATTTATATATTCGTTTATTTTTATTTATTTATTTACTTTTCTTTTTTCTTCAACACATTATTAACTTTAATTGTTTATTAGTTCCTTTTTGTTTATAAAAATATTTATTTGTTTATTTGTTACTTATTATGTTTATTTATTTATTACTTATTGTTTACGTCTGTTTATTTGTTGCCTATTATGTTTATTTATTTATTATTTATTATTTGTGCTTGTTTATTTGTTACTTATTTGTTTATAAAATTATTAATCATTTAAAAGTTTTATTTAGCTTATTTTTACTATTTTCATCATTTATTACATTCTTTTTTACTTAAGCTAAAAAAAAAAAACTTTCATTTCTTCTTCTTTACAGGTCATTAATGTTTCACATAATTGGTTACGAAATGCTCGTTTAAATGTCAATACCGATGATGTTAATATTGATAACAATGCTGATTCACTATTTAAATGTAACAATAAAGCGGAACAACTGATAATCTTTGATCTAAGCTATAATCAAATTCGATCAATTGGTGACAATGATTTAATCCAACTTGTCGCAATACGACAACTTTTATTAGCTAATAATCAAATTAGCTTTATTAATCGTAATGCATTAAAAGCATGCACATTACTACAACAATTACATGTCGGAAATAATAGCATCGAAGAGTTACCTGTTATGCCAGGTATGGATATACATATATATTTCCTTTTTTTGAATAAATAGGAAATGAATATATGTAATCATTAGTAATAGTTCAAAAGCTACGTTAATGGAATAATTGACAAATGACCTCGAATAAAACTTTAAAATTTTTTCTCCATTAACTGATCAATCGAAGATACGATATCGACCTTTTTTTTTTTTTTTTTCTCGTTTTAATTGTACAATTAACTAATCATTAAATTACGTTTCAAATAGAAAATGAATTTAACAATCAATGAATGAGAAGATAAAATGATAGTTATAGAAGTTTGAAGGATAAAATTAGCAAGAATTAGCAATGAAAATAATTATTATTTAAATATGAAAAAGAAAACAAACGGAAGGAAACTTAAAGTATTATAGTAACAAATAAACGAGTAATTAAATATGCAATTAAAAGTTAAATAGTTTAAAAATTAACTGTTAATTGAATAAATATGATTAATAAGTATTAATAAGCATGAGTAAGTAATAAGTAAGTATGATTAATATGTAAGCAAATATGAGAAGTAAATATATGTAAAATTAAATACAACAAATAATGGAATGATTGAAGAAAGAAAAAATGGATGAAATGAAATAATTAATTAATCAATAAAATAATTTTATTTTACTCCTTTTTTTTTGTTTTCAGAAACATTAAATCATTTGGATATTGGTTGGAATCGTTTAAGTATTATTCCATCAACAATTGCTAATTTACCAAATTTATTATTTTTAAATCTTAGTGGAAATGCTATCGATGCAAATACTCCATTTCCAATTATTAGCTCAACATTGCAAACTATTGACCTCAGTCGAAATCGTCTTGAATTTATACCAGAAAATTTATTTTCAAGTAGTTCACAACAATTGCAACATTTTTTACTCAGTTATAATCGAATTACACAATTGGAATCTTTATTGTTCCAAAATTACTCAAACCTACTAATGGTAAGTTTAATTAAAATTATTATTGTATTAGCAAATTAATTATCCTCACTTATTTATTCCGTTATTTATTCACAATTTATTATTGTTAGTCGTATTTGTCCATTTATTTCTGTCTTGTTTCTCTTAAGACGAAAAAAAAAGTTACTGGAACATTAGTAGTTCGATCATTTTTCTTTCGTTTCATTTTGATTAATTAAAAAAAAAAAAAAGAAGGAAAAAGAAAGAAAGAAA